AAAGGCTTATAATTTACTACAATGGTAGCAAAATGTCATGTGAAAAAAAATTATAAATTCATATATTCCAAAGGTAAGTTACTTTACATTCATTGATTTTCTATTCAATTTATCTAAACCAATACTAAAATTATATCGATAGCGAATTAAACCACACGATCTCAGCCTACATTATGATTTGTAGATTATTCCGATGCATCAATTTTAACCGTCCTAATTAAAATCTAGATGCCACCCGGATGATTACCACCCTCAACTATTTAATAATTTGACTATTTGGCCAACTTCCAACCATAATGCATAGCAGTTCATTCCAGATGGCACATATAATTTTCCTAAAATCAGTAATTTAAACTGTGAAATATCATTGAAGATGACTCGGATGACTTTATTTTAAAGGCATACAACTATTCAGTAAACTTTAAGGATTCAAAAATTACTTTAAATAATAAAGTTAGCCCAGATCTTAATCGAAATACGTTCGTTTTTAGCTAGACAAATTTGCAGTTTCACTTTTAATATTAAAAGTGAAATTACAAATTTTTGTTTAGTTAAAAGTGAACACATTTAATAAAGACCCAGACAAATTTAATGCTTAAAGGCATTTTTAAACACTCAAAATTTATAGGATGGCTGTACGACCTTAAAATGAAGTGTCGTCTGTCAAAACGTAGCATAGTGAGATTAAAAAAAAAATTATGAAAATTAATTGTAACGTAGGATGTCGTTGATCAATTATCTATATTAATGTCTGATTATACTGAGAAGTTGTTACAAATACCATATCACAATTAATCTTGTGTAACTGTTTTTTTTTTTAATCTCATTATGCTACGTATTGATTGATGATGCCTCAAATTATATAAACCCTCGTCGATAATATCTTTGCTCAAAGTTTAAATTATTATTAAATCTTAATTAGGACCATGTAGGGCAAGTTCATATGATTTAATTTAATATTAACCTTATTGGTTTCGATAAAATAACTTACCAGTAAGAAAATATATATTTAAAAGGTTTTTTTCAGATGACGCCAAAAGCTTAGCATCACAGTAGGAAAAAGTACCATAAATGCTGAATCCGATCCCGATTTTGTAAAGTGACATTAATCATTAATTCTAGGAAAAACACTGCAGCTGGATCATATGAGCTACCACGTAAAGGAGCTTGTGATGTAGTTGTACTGGGTGTTGGAGATGAAGAAGGATATCCAATCTTAGTATCACCAATCTTAGTAGCAGTATTACCATCTGCAATAAATTTGAGTGCCTTCATGAGGTATTCAAGTGAAGGTTGCTCCAATAACCTTTATAAACAGCATAAAGGTCATAAGTATATAAGCAAT